TGAGAAGCTGTAACCAGCAAATATTAACAAATAAATGTGTTAAACAACAGATGGATGTCAGTTCATTTTCTATTGATCAATGAGTTGATCAATTGACTAGTCATTGCACCACTGATCACAACTGATTTCACGGTTCTATGTTTCTTAATAAATTCTCACCAATTGTATTTTTATAGTGCAGCATGACCAAGGCCATTTGGAGGAGAAGACTCTGTAAAGCAATGTGGGAGATTGAGAACAATTTAAAGCTAACATGAGGTTCAGATAGGAGATGGTTTTACAGTAGCACTTTGGATTAGGCATGTTTAAATCCACTTAAATCCGCTGTAAAAATGATAAGGCCTTTTTTATGTATATTCCACAGACGAAATATAGGTCATACAGAGCCGTGCAGAGTTGCCATGTGTATGCATACACATGTGCAGGAGTGTTGTGTTCACTACAAAGAAAGCACACGCATGCACAAAAAACCCCACCACTACCACCAACACTTTACCGTCTCCCAGGGCAACAAGAGCACAATCTACCAAGAGGCATGTTGAGAATGAAGCAGAGGAGCGGGGAGGAGAGGAGCAGGAGGAAGAAGAAGAAGTGGGAAAAAGAGAGAATGAAAGAGAGGAGACAAGGCACAAAAGGCAAGCCCATCTACCGAGACTGCCAGAGGGAGGATGGATGCTACAGGGGTAATGCCTGCGGTGAGAGACGTGTGTGTGCAGAGAAAGAGAGGGATGGGAGATGTGACAACTGACTGATGAACACACACGGACACTATATGTACATGCAAACAGTTATATCTGGCCTTGGTTTGTGTGATAGATTCCTGCCTGGTGTGTCTATGTGCACATTGTGTTGCCAGACTAGAGGGACTCACTGTTGATGTAGAGTATAGAGCTTTTCTGTGCTGTGGTATCATGCCACGTTCTAACACATTTCAGATTCCCAAGCATTCAAAGCAGGTGCTGCAGACACCAAACCAAGCACCATTCTACAACTGAAGTATTTCCTTTCAAATGTTCGGAAACCAGTTTCAGTGGGTTGTTTGGTTTTGTTTTGTCTTTGGATGCCTGCATTCTGGATCTCTGAACGAGCTACATTTACTAATGTTTAGGGGGGCAACGATTGTGAAATTCTAGGCCGATACCAGCATTTAAAATAACATATTAATTTGTGCCATGGAAACAAAGAAAGCTAAGCATCTCTGAAATATTGCAGCTTAGTCTATTTCTCCTCTGCTGACTGTCCATGCCGGTGCAAGGAGCACATTGGTATTTGTGTGCAATTTGTGCCAGTGCTGGAGAACAGAGGTAATTATTTCTCCAATATACAAGTTCGGAAATAACCAACACAACTTTGAGCCAGCACAAAATTGATGCAACACAACCGATAAACATCAGCAGCTGACATCGGCGCATGCCATCTCATTTGCTGATGTCAGTCAACAAGGCGAAAACGGTGCATCTGTACATATATAGTAACCTTCAATAAATACACTGTCTGAATCTTTTTAAAGTGAGAAAAGCTACAACCAGTGGCATCTAACCACAAGTTTAACCAATCATCAGCTCACAGTGCAAAAAAACTAAACATAATGCATTGATAATGTATCATTATCAAGCTAAATATAAGAAGTTTTCATTGTGTATATTCATTTTAAAAGAAAGAAATGTTACAGTCATCCAATCAGGTGTTGAAAGGATGCTTAGCAAATGAGTGCAACGTCATCCATTTGATTTACCGCCTACTTTAAATGACACCTGTTCCAAGCCGTAGCTTTGCCACGCCACCATCAGTGAACTTGCCGGCTGTGCTAGGCTAACGTCGTCTTCATCATAGTCATGAAACACCTAATCTCCTGTTTCCATTCGTCCCCCTGCCCATTCTCCAAAATACTTTGCCCTTTCTCCTCCTAAGCTCTGCTTTACACTGTCCTGCTCCTCTCAATCAAATCTGTCCCATCTTTTCTCCCTCTCTTCCTCCTCCTCAACCTCCGCCCCATCTCTGCTGAGCTCTGCTGGTGATATTGGGTTTTTTTTGGGGGGGGGGGCACAGTGGCTGTGCTGGCATCTGTTCGAAAGGCTGGCACACTGCCAGCCACTGAGCATCACTCCGGCAACCAGAGTCACGCTGTTGGATTTATCTCCAACCAACCTGTC